GAGCCAAGTCGAAGCACTTGACACTTGGTTTCCTTACGACCGAGTTGAACGAACGGCCGGTTGGGGTTGCCATAGTTTGTTAGCGTAAACTAAACTCACTCCCTCTCTCTCTCTCTCTCTCTCTCTCTCGGTACTTTTCACAGGACACCGGCTCACCTGGCAGGCATATCATCGCTTGGAGGACATTCATGGCTTCATTGATTATATGGCCAAAACCTATCCGGACATTTGCTCCACCGAAACGATTGGCTACTCCGTGGAGAAGCGCCCGCTCAAGATTCTCAAGTAAGTGGAATCAAACTAAATTGCTTAGGAGCAGTAAAGACTAATGCTAATCGTCGCAGGATCTCAAATGGCAATGCTCGCAATCCCAGCGTCTGGATCGATGGCGGCATGCATGCCCGCGAATGGATCAGTCCGGCCACTGTCAGCTACATAGCCAATCAGCTGATCGAGGGCTGGGAGGATCTGCCCGACCACATGCGCAACATTAACTGGTACATCCATCCGGTGGCCAATCCCGATGGCTACGAATACTCTCACACAACGGATCGCCTGTGGCGCAAGAACATGCGCTCCCATGGACGTCAATGTCCGGGCGTCGATCTCAATCGCAACTTCGGCTACAAGTGGGGCGGCAAGGGCACCTCGGCCAGTCCCTGCTCCCAGACGTACCGTGGCAGCAAGGCCTTCTCCGAGCCGGAAACGTTCTACATTTCGAAATTCATTAGCGGCTTCCCTCGCGACACCTTCCAGGCGTATCTCTCGTTCCACAGCTATGGCCAATACATACTCTATCCATGGGGCTATGACTATCAACTAACCAAGGATCGCGCCGATCTAGATCGCGTGGCACGCCAAGCGGGCTCGGTAAGATCAGTTGGCCTAACGAATGATTCTTGAATATCCATTCAATATCCATTCTCCCCTCATTTCAGATCATCACCAAGTCTTCGGGCGTCAAGTATACTGTAGGATCGTCGGCTACGACGCTTTATCCCGCTGCCGGTGGCTCTGATGACTGGGCCAAGGGCATTGCGGGCATCAAGTACGCCTACACCATTGAGATGGGCGACACCGGTCGCTACGGCTTCGTCCTGCCCGCCAAGTTCATTCAGAACAACGGCAAGGATGGCTACACCTTTGCCGACACCCTCGCTCGCGCCATCATTCAGGGTCGCTCGAAGGATGCCCGCAGCAGCACCCGCAGCATCCGTCGCCGCGTTCGCTAGTTGCCTTCCTCCTAGACTTAGCTCAATATGAATTTTTTTTTCTCGCATTCATAATTTATTATTTTTTTTTTGTAATGTTATTTATACGAAACTATTTATTTATTTATTTATTTGTAACTAGACAAATTGAATATATCAAAATAGACTGAGACATGTTTATTGAAAAAGAAAACCAAGAACGATCGATTTAGAGGCATGCTCAAATTACCGTTAAAGGGAAAACTTTAGGTGACAGACGAACATATCTTTGGGTCATATTACGATTGGCCAACAAGTGGAAAATACTACACTTGCTTTGTTATAATTATCTAAAAAATGTACAAAAATCAGAGGCATGAGACCAAAAATATCATATTCAGATGCTCTACAAATAATATAAACAATTTATAAAAACCTCGAGATATTAGGTGATGATTTTGCATATATCTATAGATGATCTATATATGCTCAATTGTCTGCCAACAAATAATTTACTAATAATATTTTCAAATGATCTACAGATAATATACAGATGATCTGCAGATGATCTACAGGCAATCTACAGATGACCTACAGATCTATGGATGATTTATAAATTATTTTCAGATGGTCTACAAATATTTTATTGATGATCCATAAATGAACTACAGATCTTTTACATAGTATCTTTGCTCTGAACTTTCTCTGAAAGACTTCTATAAATATATATACAAATTTATTTCAGGAGTGTTTTATACAGTTTATTCTTATATCTATAATAATTTTTTAATTTGATGGATTAATTAATTTCCCGATTCACAAAATATACGAATTTATTGAATGTAAATCAGACACACGAACTACGACAATGAAATTCAACTAAGAATTATGGCACAAATAAAATTTATATGAGTATTATGGATAAGTATGGCAAATAAAAAAACTGGTTAAGTCAAATATTAAAGATGATAAGAGGTCGAGTATGCCTAAGAGAGATGGAGAGAGAGAACGTAAGTGAAAGACTTCGACAGAAACAGAGAGGAAGAGAGGGCGAAACGAAAGCGACTGAGAATTGCAACAAATAGTTTGGGCAGTATAACAGTATAACAGTTATTTATAACATTTCGAGCAAAGTAAAAGTTAAGCTATGCAAATTTCTGGCCCACCGACTGTGCGTCTGTGTGTATGTGTGTGTCCAGAGAATTGAGAACAGCGGCAAAAGCGAAAAATGTAGCCGTTATTTGGCCAATTCGAAGCGTGCCGCATGCCAAACAGAATCGAACATCGAATCGAGCAACATTCATCAACAAATTCGAACGCCGCAAACGCAGAGTCTCTCAAAATGCATTACGCATACGCACTGCTGGCCGTCGCATTGTGCGCACTGTGGCTGCCACAGCCGGAGGCAGTGAGGCGCTACGATCTGTTTGCACGCAGCGGCGACAATCTCGTCCGTCTGCCCTTCTTCGGCGGCGGCGTCGCCCAGCTGCTGCGCTACCTGCGGCCCATGGAGCAGCCCAGCGGCGGCATGAGCCGACGCTCGCCTCTGCGCGCTGCGCTGGACGAGAACTATGTAAGCTATCGCGGCGTTCAGCTCTGGAAGCTCAACTTCAATGGCACTCGCAAAATGGGCGACAAATCACCGGATGCCCAGTTCCAGCAGTTCGTCGAAGACTTCGGTGAGTAGTGCGAGGCGTGGCGAGGCAACCACCTGAGGCCTCTCAGTCTCAGCCCATCAATCTAGCCAAAATACACAGAAATCGACTCGAGCGACGTTCTAACGAGGCGCTCGATCACGGAATCCACATATTTCATGTTTCCGATTGGGAACCAAACAAAATTGAGCGAGGCTTTACCGAAGACTTGATGCTCTACCATAAATTAATGAATTAATCAATGTGAGTCGGATTTGTTGATTGATTGGACCAGTTAGGCAAAGATGTAAAGCTGAACTTATGTGTTGCCTGATTGACTAACTGACTGATTGATGATATACGTTGAAGTGAAAAAGAAGTAGTCAAATTGAATAATTGTTTGATTGAAGATCTACACTAAGAACAATTTGATGGATTGAATGATTGTGTTGACTGTGCGAATAATTGATTGATTTACAGGTAGACTGATTGACTGATACAATGAATGAATTTAAGTTTGACTAATAAGGGAAAAACTTGTAAAACTAGAAATAATACTGGAACTAGTATTACTTCACGAATGCCTTGACTGCTCGCAGTCTATTTGAGTGATTGATTGATTCTCCAGACGTATTGATTGATAAACAAAACAATATGCTAGAACAGCGAATTACCCATCTAATATATTAGCCAGTCTTCTATCATAACTTAAGAGAAACAAAAAACTAATCAAAATATAGATTCATGTATATTAAATACGCATTTTAAGATAATAGCCGTGATTAAGAAATTTATATTAGTCGCTGATGACTATCCTTAAAGATATGCAGAATAGACTTCAAGAAACTGTCAGGTATGCAAATCGAATCCGAAACTTGTAACTGTTCGAAAACACCTGCTGAATTCGAGATCAAAGGTGGGCTATTGACCTCTTTACCGAAAGAATAGAATCGAGCAGCGTGTCAAACATCAAACGCCCAACCACAAACAGTGACTCAAGTGAACCACAGTTAGACAGCCGGTCAGCCGGTCAGCTAGTCAGCTAGTCAGCTAGTCAACTACTAATCACCTGGCGAGAGGCAGGTGGCAGATAGCAGGTGTTCTGCACACATAAAATTGATATTAATCATGAAATTTTCGAACTTGGAATTCAGCGAATTTTGACCTTCTGCTGAGAGATGCGAGAGTGTGGAGAATTAGTTCTGTTTGTGTGGCACGATCAGCATGATGTTATTGTTGGCACTGGGCCTCGTACCACTGCTGACGGTTGCCAGCGTCGGTGGTGCACAGTGGCTGCTGTGGCGCAGTGTCTCAGTGCCGGGTCTCGCGACTCTGCCCGACTTGTGGACGCTCAACAGCACCGAGCTGTACGAGGCGACCTTTGAGAGTTTGCAGTGGCTCTCGCCCACCGATCTGCGACGTTTCGATTTCCTATCGCCCAGCTCCACATATCAGATCAATCGACGCTATCGCAGTGGTGCCTCGGTGAAACGATATTACGGCCATCAGCTCTGGAAGCTGCATGAAACGCGTCTCAGGCAGCCAAAACTACGCACATTCCTGCGACACTTTGGTAGCCATGAGCAAAACATCGCCTCATTCCATCCATCGGCGTGCTGATAGATCTCTTAATCTGTGTATTTCGCAGGCAGCGAGGTGTGGAACGTGAATCAAGACGGCATCGACGTGATCATCGAGCACAAGAACGTGGCTGCCGCCCAGCAGTATATGGCCCAGACCGCGTTCAGCTACAACATCATGATCGACGATCTGGAGACGGCCATCGATGAGACCTACACGGAGATCAGCGACACGGACACCGACCAGGACAATCCATTGGCCAACTACTCGCTGCCCTGGCTAAATCGTGAGGGTGTTCTCCTCACCTGGCGCCGCTATCACGATCAGTCAGATATACAGCAATTCCTGCAGAATGTCTTGGAAACGCATTCCGAGCTGGCGGAGATCGTGCAGATTGGCGTCACACGCAATAAGCGACCGCTGGAGGTGCTCAGGTCTGTCAACAGTTACTGCTACAGTTACGTATTGCATTACGTAAACGTTTTACGTATGCGTACTGCTCACTGTTAACTCTGTACTGTTAATTAACAGGGCTGTTTTAGCCACTGCTAATGCTACTAATTGCTCTGTTGGCTTTTCAGAGTCTCGAATGGCAATTCAAATAATTTCGCGGTCTTTGTGGATGCCGGGATGCAGGCACGTGATTGGCTCAGCCCGGCGGCGCTAACCTATGCCATCTCGAAGCTGACCTGGCTGTGGGAACAGGGTCAGGCGGACAGGGCGATGCGTCACATCGACTGGTACTTTCTGCCGTTGGTCAATCCCGATGGCTATCAGTACTCGCGGCTCACCGATCGACTGTGGACCAAGAATCGCAATTACGACACTACCACCGGCTGCTACGGCGTCAATTTGGATCGCAACTTTGACTATGCCTGGGGCGAGGCGGGCGCCTCATCCAATCCGTGCAAGAATCTCTATCGGGGCGCCAAAAGCTTCTCCGAGCCCGAAACACGAGCCATGCGCAGCTTCCTGCTGGGCATGCGCGACTACTTGGGTGCATATGTCTCGTTCGGCGGCTACGGCCAGACGATTACCTATCCGTGGGGCGACGCCGACTATGTGACCAGCAATCAGCGCCAGCTGCGCCACACAGCTCGCCAGGCCATCCTCAACTTCCGTCGCCTGAACCACGCCGAGTACAGCATGGGCAGTAGCTATCGCCAGAAGCTGGCGAGATCGGGCAACGCGGCCGACTGGGTGCAGCAGCACATCGAGCCGCAGTTCGTGTACAATGTCTTCCTCAAGGATCAGGGTCGCTATGGCTATCTAATGCCGCCCCACTACATACTCGAGTCCGGCGAGGAGGTTTACGAATTCCTAAAGACCATAGCTCAGCAGTTGCAATAAGTGAAGCCGCATTGATTGATCTTGATTGATTGATTAGAATTTATATAAATTTAATTTAACTTTTTTTTTTTAACTATTTATTTATTTATTTGTTTTGCTTTCAATGCAAACATCGCGCTTTATAATTTAAATTAATTTACGATGCATCTGTATGTCAAACCGAATTCTGCTTTAAATAAACATGACGAACAATAGATTTCTCGCCTCTTTATAGGTTTCCATTGACACATTGTGCAAACAGTTGGCAAAAGTTAACCACATCAACTTTCAAATGTTTATATCTTTACTTTGATCATCTAATAATTATGACATAGTCTTGCTAATGGACTTGAGCTAATAGCTACTGCTAAACCATTAGTAATGATGCCACGATCGTGATCAATATCGATGTGTGATGCAAGGGAAACACCCAGAGTAATTAATGTGTTTATTTACCAGCTAAAACTATTAATTATGTGATTGAAATTTATAGAACTTTGAACTGCTTGCTTCAGGAAGGGAGAGAAAAAAACATTGCATGCTTTTAGGCGAGCTACTTAAAGCTGTACTTAAAGTTTGAAGCAATTATTAAATGAAGCAGAAGCTATATATTGAATATAAATAAATATATACAAATATATATACACACACACACACCCATAGATAGCCAAATAGAAAGCAGTCGAGGAATAAAAAAAAACAACTATAAATGAGCGGGTGAGAGAGCAGGTCTGCAAAAGCTGTTGCTGCTAGAGCCTAAGACAAAGACAAAGCGAGAACGAGACAGCGAGAGAGAGCGAGCGAGAGGGAGAACCACCGATAGCCAAAGCTAGTTGAACTGGGTGAAACTTTCACTTTCAATCGCGTTTTCAAAACTAGTATAAACAAATCGGGGGCGAACGAGAGAGAGAGAGAGAGAGAGAGAGAGAGAGAAATGGGGAGTGGGAAGTGGGGCTTAAACTGAAATTGGATAAACGACGAATGGCGCGACAACGGGCAAAAGATGTTATTCATTTATCTATTTATTTAACATGCATATAAAAATTATGCGAAGCAGGCGAAAGGCCAGCGATAAACGTTTGCCGCGCAAAGAAAGTGATTTTGAAGCGCTGCACGAAGACGAAAAAAAAATGCGATAAATCGAAGAAAAAAGCAAAGCAATATATCCAAAGCACGACTCGAAACTCAGCATATTCACGACCATGCGATACCCTACATATGCAACCAAAGCGACAAAGAGGCTGACATCAAAGGCAAAGCTGGACCTGAGAGTGTGTGGGTGTGCATTTCTATATATACATATATGTCTGCATATGTGTGTGTGTGTGCGTGTTGCTTTAACAACAAGCATGAATCGCCTCATTTTGAGTGGACCACAAAAGCGCATCGGATCGTCAAAAAAGGGTAAAATACAAAAGTGAAAATCGTTTTTAAGGTACAAAGACGAAACCACAAGAAGAAGAAGAAGAAGAAGTAAAAGAAGCAGAATAAAAGGCGAGCACAGCAACAATACCAAATACGCAAAATACAAAGCGCAGCCGCAGCAGGCAGAAGAAGAAGAAGCAGCACAAATAAGTAACGATATATAAAACTTAATTGGTGTGGGGGGAGAGCAGAGGGGGCGGGGTTTGTGGAACAACATGTTGATTATCATCAAAGGCGAAAGAAAGTAAAAACATGCCAAGTGGGTCAAAAATTGCGCCGTCATAAGCGCGCCACAGTCACAGACACACACACACGCACACAGAGAGACGTGAGTAATACAACTGCATTAATAAACGTCAATTACATAGTCAGATGCAAATACACACGCATACATGCACATTTCAACAGTTTGCGCTGTGCTTAAATTAAATTTACAACAAATCACAATGCCTCACAGATAGAAACGCACACTTGCAAACAGACTGGATATATCTATTGTACATATATGCACATACACATACACATGTATGCATCATACTCATATCAAGTCATCAACTGGGAAAACCAATCTTTAAATTATTTTGTTTCCTACTTCTATAATTAAAGTTGCCTGCAACAGTGTGTGTATGCGGTTCTAGCTTTACTCCATGTATGTATGTGTATGGCATTTTAATTAATGTTTTGTCTGGAATTTCCATACTTCAAGGGCTTAGCAACAGCATGAAATGTTGTATATTTCCATTAATTGCAACCAATAAAATTGCGCAATTTAAATTTGGAATAAGTGAAATAATGTGAAAATTGAATTTTCGATAAGATGATATCTAAATTTTAATTGATGTGACTATATCTATTTAACGTTTACTTCGCCATAAACTCTTTATTGCAGTGTACACTCAGAGATATATTCATCTAAGAGGCTTGCATACTTTTAGCACAGACTGTGCTCCAATCAAGCTGTGCCTAAAATAGAAGTGTTAATTGTGAATGAACTATTTGCGGCGTTACGCTGAGCGCTGAGAAGGCTTAGAATGACAAATATAATGCAAAGCTGTGAAAACTAATTTAAAATAGAGCAAACTTCCAAAATAGTGAACTTGAAGATACCCTATAAATTTTTTTATCGAGTTATTCCCACTTCGAAATAGCGTTATTACGAAATCAGGCAACTCGACTCCACTACAGATATTATTTACTTTAATTTTTGTCAACTATTACACACACACACACACAGAGATTATGCCCCGTTGAAGCATTTTCAATGGGTATTAAAACATCATTGAGGCTCTGCGACTGTTTGCCGTAGCAAGTGCAAAGTGCAAAACGGACGACAACTGCATGACTCTGTGAGTGTGTGTGTGAGTGTGTGTGTGTGTGTGAGTGAGTAATAGATTGAATTTTGATAAAGCACACGAAATGCAACAATAACAGCAGCTGCAGCAGTAGCACTAGCAGCAGCAGCAACAACAGCAGCAACAACAGCAATAGCAACAGCAACAGCGACAGCAACAGGCGCAAGCGCAGCAGCAGTTGCGTGCGCAGCGACGCGCCGCGTTACAGCACGAGAGAGAGTAAATGTCGCTAACTTGCAGCGAACTGGAGAGAGCGCGCGCACTCTCTCTAAAAAGAAATAGAAAAAGCAATAGCAACAACAATCATGCTAACTGTAATAGCAGCAGTAACCACCCCACCACGCACGAGCTTCACAAATTCGCCGTTGTTGCTGTTGTTGTTGCCGATTTGCTGTTGATGCGTGACTGAGTCTCTCGCATTGCTGCTGCTGACTGCGCTGCTGCTGCCTGCGGCCGCTGCTGCTGCGCTGCTATTGGATGCTTCGACTGCTGCTGATACTGCTGTTGTCAATTCATTCAGTACGCGCCGATCGCTCCAAGATCGGTCGTCAGTTTGCAGCGTATTTTTCTTTCCAAAACTGTTTTTTTTTTTTTTCACTTTCTGTTGTAATTCTGTTTAACGTTGGACGTTGGTTGTTTATTCACTTTTTTTTCTTAAGCCCGGTCTCTTTTTCTGATCGACTTTTTTTTTGTGTTTTCTTTTTTTTTTTTTTTTTTTTTGAATCGGGAAACAGCCCTCGGCGCAGTGGCCCGGCTTGATTTTATATAAAAATTGAAGCTACACAAAGGCAGCATTTAGTCTGGCTCAGTCAGTGGGGGCTGCCAAGTGTAACAGTCACTCACACTCACACACACACACACACACTGGAAAGGTGTGTCAGCAACTGACCGGCAACTGCAGCATCCAAGAAGCAGCAACAACAACAGCAGCTGGTGCATTAATCACTGTGAAACGCCAAATGTAAGCAAATAAATTGAATTGAATTGAATTGTGTGCGAACGAGTGAGACGRGGAGTGAGACAGAGAGTGCAACAGCCGAAGAACGCCAATGCGCCTGCATTTGTAAGTGAGAGAGGTCATTCGTGATTAACATATATGCACATGTATGTACCTTAACATTAGCATTAACATTAACATTGTGGCGAACCTTTAGCGTGCACATTTTCGAATGCAAGCGAATTGCAACGAGTTTTAATACCCTATACGCATTTTAAACTATTCACTAAGGCTGCTGAGTGCATGAGTCAGCTTATTAGATAATATACAAGTTAAACTATAGAAAACTTTCCATATATATACGAAAATGTATGTACGAATTCCATAAATACCAATACCCAGCAATCGGTATTCTCAGCCTGTATCCGAAACTGTTTTTTGTGTAAATACATTGATAGGACAGTCCATGTGCATACAGGGTAATGGCCACGTCAATCACTCTCCACGAGTGCACTCTTACTTGTTTTCAGACTGTTTTGTGACTGGTCAAGGGAAATGTGCAGTCGCTCCAGTTATGGAGCAAAGCACGAACCAGCGATAACATCTGGGACACGTGATCGAAACAAAGGTCGGCCCATATATGATACGAAACGAAACGATACTCTCCATACAGAAGATTCTGTCCGTCCATCCGTCCGTCTATCTGTCCGTCCAGGTGTCAGACACTCCTCAACGTTTGTTTAGTACCATGCGAAGCCCCAGAACCTGTTCTCTGGGCCGCTTTCTGAACTACATACATACAGAAAAAAAAAAAAAAAAAAAAAAAAAAAAAAAAAAAAAAAAGTAAATAAAATAGAGACTAATCTGTACAGCTCGTCTAAAGCTAATTAACACAATTGCGTGCTAACCAAAGGCGATAATAATTTTGCAACGCCACAACGTTTTCCACGCCCAAAATTGTAAAGAGCGGAAGATTGATTCTGGATCTGATTCAGATTCAGTGCAAAACGCGAAATAGCAATGCAAACATAAAACTGAATAATTTCTATATATATATACTTTAAGCTGTGTGCATATATAATTCATTCGTCTCGATATTACGCTAATGCCTCTCGCATACAAATCAATCAAACAAATTTTTGGCCTCCATCAGCATAATATGATATTGTACCTCTCTCTCATTTTAAGCTTTACCGACTTGCATATCAAATCGTTTAGTATCAGCTTGATGGATAAACAAACATTTGAAAATCATTTGAAATCAAAATGTTCCATATGAAAATTATATTAATTAGTCATATACAGAGATATTTACATAATAAAATATAGAATTCACAGACAGTCTCAACATTTTTATACATCGGGTATTGTAAATAGACGCTTTAGTTGGATTTCTAATTCTCCAAAAATATTCCAACAAAACTCAAACACAAAAGTAATTATAAATTATACAGTTTTCTAGGCAGGATTAAATGTTTTCAAGTACTACGCAGAAGTGACTAAATGATTGTCCAACTAAGTTATACAATGTTGATATTGGTTCACTTACAGTTTGTACACGATTTTGATTATTTAGAATATTATGGCTTTACGCAATGTTCGTCCGTCCAATATTTCACAGTTTGTGGAGTTACAGATTCTCGACTGATAAATGCAAAATATTTTAATGTGCACCCTTACTTTTGAACACGCCTACTGCGGATTCACAAACGAAATTAGAGACTAGAGACAGGCGACTAGATGCAGGAAAATTTACACTCCAGTGGACCGCCCACAGATAAACATGTTAAACTATGTCCCAATGGGGGGGCGTGGCAGAGCGAGCAAAACTATATATATTGCAAGAGTTAAAACCAACCAGCAGATTTTCAGCTATTGATCTCCTCTACGGATAGAGCTATAGGCAATATAGATATAGATCGTGAACGAGTATTATGCAAAGTTCTTAGCTATTTTTCATAATATACATATATCTATTTCACATGGATAGATATTCAGAATCAAGTTCAAACAAAATTGAGACAATTAGCCATCAATTTTAGGCTGATTTTTTCCATAGAGCTGCTGACCCAAATACCCAGCAAAGCGTCACTGAGTGGGTAGCTGGGCGTGTTAATTACATTCGAGCACTTGACTGATCAGTATCAAACGTTGTTATCATTGCACAGATATTGCTGACAGCTGTTAACTGCAAGCTGTTAACTGATTGCTGATAAGATCGATAGCAACATGAATCATCGATCGCTGCTGCTCTGGATGCTGTTTGGCTCGTTGCTGGCCTTGGCCGTGGCGAGGGGCAATTCAAATGCCTCATTGACCGGACATGTCTTGGGCGATCATGAGGATCTGAATGAGATTCCGGTGCGCTATGATGACACGGAACTGTGGCGTATTCACAACATTAGCGATGCATTGCTCTGGACCGTACCCGTCACCGAGATAATGGAGAATAAGTTTGGCGCCAACATCTGGAAGGAAAATCCCAAGTATGTGGACCTGTCCATTACCAAGATGCAGGCGAAAGCCGCACGCAGTTTCCTCAACGCCCATCGAATGGACACTGAGCTGCTGGCCAGAAATGTCCAGGATCTCATCGATGAAGAGCAGCTGGAAGGTATCAGAGCCACCCAGGCAAAGCTAGGAAGACGCATAAGTGAGTTGGGAATCTAATGAAATTCAATCTAAAATTGCGCTCGACTTACATCGATTGCTCCAATCAGGGAAGGCCTCAAACGATGCCAGCGGAATGAACTGGAATGATTACCAGTCTCTGGAAACCATATATGATTATATGCGCGAAATACGGGCAAAGTATCCAGACATCTGCCGTCTCTACACCATTGGACATACGTACGGAGGACGCGAATTGAAGGTCTTGCGGTATGTTAAAAGTCGAAATTTGAATTACCTTACAGAAGAATATATGCTATATATATGTCATAAAATTCACATATCCGTCTGCAAGTCGCTGCATTTATTTGTTGCATCAGCAGATAACATAGCTGCTTTTAACAGTGACACTGTTAAGTTAACAGAGCACGCATTTCACATGCCGCTCGAAAGTATGCAACGCAAAATATCAACGGCTCCGGCTCACATTTGGCAGGCAAATGCTGAATTAACATTTTGAGTCGATGCTTTGAAGTATGCTACATAAATTATTTAATGCGCCAAGCTAACTAACATTATGTTGTCAAGGGTCTTGTCTAACAGCAGCTGAAGAGGATTTAACATAGCTCGCCTAAAGCCATACTTCGATTGCATTTTTCTGTTTTGCAGCATCTCAGAGAATCCGCGCGACAATAAAAAGATTTGGATCGATGGCGGCATCCATGCACGTGAGTGGATCAGTCCCGCAACGGTGACCTTCATACTTTCTAAGCTGATGGATGACTGGGAGAATCAGCCAAAATATATACGCGAGCTCACCTGGTATATAATGCCAGTCATGAATCCGGATGGCTACCACTATAGCCGTACGGTGAATCGACTCTGGCGAAAGAATCGTTCGCCATCGACGCGACATGCCAACTGCTTTGGCGTCGATTTGAATCGCAATTTCGATATTGGCTGGACTAGCCAGGGATCCTCGAAGGATCCATGCAGCGATATCTACCGTGGCTCTGCACCCAACTCCGAGCTCGAAACGAAGGCGGTGGCCGAGTTTCTGAGCAAGCGCAAATACAATTTGGAAGCGTATCTAACCTATCACAGCTATGGCCAGCTGATCGTCTACCCGTGGGCCTTCAAGGCGGTCAAGGTGAAGGATGCGAATGTCCTGCAGCGTGTCGCTAACACTGCTGCCGAACGCATCATCCAAAAGACTGGCACCCCCTACAAGGCAGCCGTCACCCACGAGGTCCTTGGCATTGCTGGCGGCGGCTCTGATGACTGGAGCCGTGGCGTCCTCGGCGTGAAATATGTCTACACCGTTGAGTTGCGCGATCGTGGCCTGAACGGCTTTGTCCTGCCGCCCAAGTACATCAAGGACACGGCCATCGAGGGCTGGACTGTGGCCGAGACAGTTGCCCAGGCCATCGGCTAAACAGGGGTATTCCCCTCTGCCGCTACGATCTATGAGTGTGTGAGTGCGCCTGTCTGTGTGAATGCTTATTTATGTATGCATGTACATTGTACATATTTAAAAGATAAAAAAAATATATATATATATACTGTACCAAAATTAAAATTGATATAAAAATCCTTAATTTGTTTTTCTCTTGATGAGAGATGAATCAGTCCATTCATGACTTGCCGGACTTATATTGACTAACATTATATACATAAATACATGCTGACAAATAGAGTGAGTCCAAACTGAACTAGTTCATAACCGTAGATGACAAATTGAACTAGTTCCTAAGCACAGAAGCACAACAACAATTGGAAACAGCTCAACTGATCCATGTCATCGAAGCAAGAGCGAATTGAACGAAATTAGTTTATAAACTAGCTCATAAACAAATAAACATTAAACTTTACCATCAACAGATAAATATATAGAAGTCAAATTGAACTAGCTCATGAGCAAATTATACCAACTGACACTTGTAGCGAAATTGAACTAGACCATAAACTAGTTCATAATTGACAATGTTATCGGCTCAAATCGAAAATCATATCGATAGGCAAACAAGAAAAATATTCTCACCGTATCCTCATCGTCATCGGTATTATCGACTTGCTCCAGCTGCAGCTGCCGAGCCAAGGTGCCTCCGCCATTGTGCGTATGATTATGGAGATCCTTGGGCGTGGACTCCTCGGAGATGACCGACTCTGAGGGCAGATTATCGACGAATGCCACAAAATTGGTCAGCGGCTCAGCGGCTGTCGGTGGCGTGGAGGCTGTGGAGTTGCCCAACGATGTGACCTTATTATTAGTCGCATTGACTTTGGCTTGGCATGGAGATTTGGTGCTGGATTTGATGGTGCTCATGGTGGTGGTGGTGGTGGTGGTTGTGGTGGTACTGCTGCTGATGCAGCGGGAGTAGCGTGTGTTTAGCTTGATGCTGTTCTGCGGCGATGCCAACGATTGGGGCGAGGGCGTGGTCGATGGCATTTGCAGCTGGCAGCTGATGTCACCATCCCCATCGCCATCGATGTCCCCATCGCCGACCCCATCGCCATCGCCGTCGCCTAAGCGGAGCTGTTGTTGTATAAGACGCTCAGCTTCCAGCAACAGCTCATCCACGGAACGCATGTCTGAGCTGTCTGCAAGGCGGTTCACCTCCTGGAATATCGTCTCCGGATCGGCGGGCTCCAGGGTGCAGTCCTGTTCCTTGGCCAAAAACTCGATGATCGAACTGCTGCTGGTGTAGTCCAAGACACTGCTCACATCTCCATTAATGGCGTCTGTGTGTTTGTTTACACTCTCACTGTCCGCCTGCCGGGGGCGAGGGCGTGAACGTGTCGACGCCATGGGCTGCACCTTGGACATTTTCCAGCTGCAGTTACAGTTGCAGTTGCAGTTGCACCTGCTCTCACTCTCACTCCCACTCCCGCTCTCTTCGCCCCCTCTCGCTCGCTCTCCACCACTGGCTGCTGTTGTCTTTGCACACACGCTCACGCACATACACACACAGCTGCAGTGGCGCTGCGTTTTGTTTATTTGTTTTGCCTTGTTGTTGTTCCTCTTGTTGTTGTTAGTTCTTTTATTTTATCAATTTACTGCTTTGAAGATAATCTTGCATCTGACTGCCACCGTTGCCGTCGTCGCGCACTCTTAAATCTTAACAGCAATACGCTTATAAAACTAAAAAATTAAAAACTACTTATTTTTCTCGTTTAATTTTTACGCTCGCATTATTTTTCCGTCTTGTTTGTACAATTGCCATAAATTACGACTACTGCTGCTTTTGACATTCGCCCGTTCACGTATTCACTCCACATCTAACAGCGTGACTCCACAAATAACAGTACGCGCTGTTATTAACAGTTTTCTATGTTCAAATTTTATCGAAAAGCAAAAAAGAATACAAAATAATTAGCAACATATTAAAAAAAAATTTCTAATTGGATTGTAATTTTGCGCCAGTTTTTTATAGGCTAATAGGCTCGTACGTTTCGATTAATTGAGTAAATTTGTTGATATTATTATAACATTTTTATGCAAACAGCATTTCATATAGTTGAAAAATTTCTCAAACTTACATTTTATTGGACTTCCACAGCGTAATTAATTTAAAAACAAAAAATAATAATTTCTATGAAATTTTATTTCATTTTCCCCAATATTTCCATTATGAATATTTAATAAAAAGCGGACAAATAATTTTCTTTAAATTTTATTTTAGATTTTTTTCAAGAA